TATCTTAAAATTATTAAAAGAGGATGAGTTTTGTAGTGTTAAAGTGATTCCTCTCGATCATTAATTATAAAATGTGAAAATTCAGAGAAAAAAAAAAACTGCAAGCCCTTTCTCATTTCATGCTTGCGTGTCTTCTCTTCCTTTACAGTCTCCATTGTCCATTTCAATTTAAATCCTTTCTCTTAACTCTCCTTCCGCAACTCACCTAACTCACCCAACTCACCCCAGCAGTGCGATCCCTTCCCCGATTTCTCGTTAATTTTTTCTCCTAGTTCTTCTTCTTTGTTTTTTTAATCCTTTTTTTCGCTGTCAGGGTGAAGCACTGTAATTCTCCTAAAATTGCATTTGGACATGGGCAGTTGGACTCTTTGTCGAGCAGCCTAGGGTCTAGTTCTAGTGAGCTTGATTATAACCTTCACTAAACATGATATAAGTTGATTCAACCTCTTAATTCATTTCATTTACAAGTTGATTTGATTTATTAATTTGTTTCAATTTACTTATTTAATAATATATAATTATAAATAAAGACCATGAAAATTAACTCAAGTTAATTCACTTATTTAATATCATTATAAGAAGGGCTTATGAACTCCGAAACTTTTTTGATCATATCTATTTGACTCATCATCTGTGTAGTTAGGGTGCTCACAATTAGTAAATTAAATTTTGAAATAAGTGGATCTTGGGTTGCCCCTCTGGCATGGAAACTCCTTTAATCCAACCAATTTAGCCCGTGACAAATGATAACCCAACCCAATCCAACACAAGTCACCCATTTGTCATGTCTATACCAATGACCGACATTTGGCGTTCGGCAGCACCTGTGAGCTATCAGAAAACCCTAAGCTCGATCTCTTGTCAACTGTGTTGAAATGGATCATCACTGCTGTTGATAAACGCCCACTGTCCAACCTAGTCTGGCAATTCGCGATCTAATGATTCATTTTTAAAACCAGATGAGCCAAAGCCTCCTACATTTCTTCTTGGAATTACCCTACCAACCCTTTTTTTTTTTATGCAAGAAGGTATATATTCTCATTGATAAGAAAAATAGCAATATTAACAGGGTACTCGAGTCGGTAGGCGTTATTTTAATAGGGAGAGGCTAATAATTAAACTCTACACTTATAGTTAAGAGTATTAATAACTTTATTATCAAACTATATAATTCACAACAAAGTAAGAATTCATTGGTTATACCTCAGATCTTGTTTCAGTTTCCTTTCTTT